AAACTGAGTCCATAAAACATGTTAATAAACTGATAATATTTGTGTGAGTCACTTTCCATCAGTGATTTGCCAGATATCTTTCTAGCATTTTGAAAAATTAAATCATTTCTTAAGCCCAAATTTAAAATATGCAGTCATATTGGTTGGAAGTATAATGATGTTAAAGGTAGTCTACTAATATTTTCACATTTCTTGGTATATTTTGTTGGAAGAGGCCTAAAAGATACTTAAAGCACAGTTAGTACTAAATATGTTATGTATGAATATGTATTTTGTTTTTCAATATTTTGTTTCTCAAAAACAATGTATTAGGTGTTTTAGTATATGAACCAGGTTCTTAATAAACAGTCACATTCAAATAAGCCATATTTTTCTGTAATAAATTTTGCATGTAATTGACTGTAAACGCTGGTTTAAAGTCATATTGCATTTTAATGGCAAGGAAATAAAAGCTAAGGTCAATAAATGCTTTTTATTTTTCTCTTGCTATGGTATGAAACACCATACTATAGGTACATGGAATTATTGGCCAGTCATATGTTCTTTACCCCACTCTAAGTTTATTAAAATTAACTTTGAATAGGTAGTACTGAACTTCTAAATGGGTTTCAGCAGAAAGTTAGCAAACCAGAGGTAATACAGGGAAATATTTTATAACTTTTTTGGTAAAATATAGTTATCTATTTCAGAGGTCTCAGAGCTCCTAAGTTTTTCTCAGGAATCTATAAGAGCTGAATAGAAACTGAAGCACAAAAAATTGGAGCAAAAACAGAGCAGTTAGAGCTATACTATTGTGCTTTCCATTGCAGTGACAGAATATCTGAGATAAACAACTTAATAAAAGGAAAGATTTATTTTGGCTCAGTTTCAGGGGTTCAGGGTCATTTGGCCTAATCATTTTGGGACTGTGGTTAGACAGCACATCATAGCAGGAAGCACGTGGTGGAGCACAGAGCTAACCTCAGGGCAATAATCTGGAAACAAAAAGAAAGCTTCCTGTTATAACAAAGCCCCTCCCTCAAACATTGCATCATGAATCCATCAATGGATTATCCATTAATAAGGTCAGAGCCCTGGAGAACCAAAGGCCTCCTCTCCATGCACTGCTGTGCTGGGCCAAGCCTTGGATCTCACGTGCTTTTGAGGGGACAGGGGAGTTTAAAATCCAAACCATAACAACTGTTATGAAGAAATTACAAACCAGTATCTAAAAATATTTACCCATCACCACTATGGATATAATATTTGTTATACTTATATGTCACAGAATACAAGTCTTTGTTTTACTTCGAAATAAAAACCACAAATAACAACTGAGTCCCATTGTTTAAAGAGCAAAAAACATTGGATATCTTGCTGAAATTCTTCTTTCATTAATAAAGGATAATAAGGTCATGCCTTATCAACAGAAAGTTTTGAAATTCAGAAATTAACCAAGAACATCAATTTGAAAGACTTGTTTTTGAGAGGAGAATTCCTTACAATAGAAAGTGTCCCCTCTGACAGAGGTGATCTCACCAGGCCAGGAAGAACAGACTAAATTGGAAGCATGGTGGTCCAATTTCTAGCTTCCTCCCAACAGAGTGTCAGTGTCACCTTATTGCTCCTTGGTCCTATTTATTTAATGGATTTTTAACTTCAAGAGAGTTCTGGGAAGGTGTTGGGGAAAGATCTGAAATGAACCTTGGCAGTTCCCTGAAACCAAAACTAGCATGTACATCATTATATACTTAGTAATTCCAGTGTGACTTTTAACACAAGCAAAAGGAAAGAAGAAATTGGCATGTAATAGAAATCTATTACATTTTTCTCCTTATATGTATATCCTTGGTATTTTAAATTCTAGAATTCTGAATTCATAAATCTATATTATTTATGCACGAATCACAAATTGAATACTAGTTAGACACTGAATTTTTGTTCTATGTCCTCAAAAAGAGGATTTGTTTCTCTTTTATCTAATACCCATAAGTTCTATGAGATGAAGTCAGATTTGTTTTTAGTGAAACTCCTGATTATTTTGTGGGATTTCCGGAAGCTTTTGAATTGTTAAAACAAGCACAAATGATATATGTACTTTTATTGAGCATAATAAAACAAACACCCATGAAGCTATCACTAATCTTAAAATCTCATCCTGCCTGACTGCACTCTCCAAATACAACTCTCTTCAGTTTTGATTCTCTTGTTTCCTTGCCTTAAAAAGAAATGTTTTCTTGCCAATGTATGTACCTCAAAATGATATACTTCTGAGCTTTATTTGTGTGTATGTGTGTGCATGTGTGCATGTGCTTTATGAAAAAATAGTATAAGTTTGTTATACTTTTAAATATCAATTATATATGTTAAATTGTAAAAATGCTAGTATTCAATAAGAATAAAATGGGGAAAACTGGCACTTTTATACACTATAAGACTAGGAGTTATATCTTGATACGCTTGGGACTGATATCTTGATATACTCACCCTACAAAATAGTAATATCTATTACAATTTACAGTATACAACTTTTATGCCATAGGAATTCCACATATTGAAATCTGTCCAGGAGAAATCCTTGAACATCTTGCATTCAGGTTGTAAATTTCCTTATTGCTTCAAAAAAAAAAGCTATAATAAACTTATATAACAATGAGTGACTCAACAATAAATTGTGGGATATTATCAAATAAGTCATTATTTTAAATGAAATGGGGAAAAACCTTCCAGTAATGGCAGTGGAATAATGTAATGATATGAACCCTCCTATTTCACATAACAATATTTTTTACAATATTTCAAAAAAAATTTAAAGCCTACTTTAAATGCTTGAAAGGATCATAAGTAGACAGAAGTCACTGGGGAATGGACTGGAACTGAGTAGTGGGATACTCTTCTGTACTGTTTGAATTTTGACCAAGTATGGAATAATTTAAAAGCTTCAGGTATTTAACTTTCAATCTATTTTATGTATATTAAAATCACTTTTTAAAAATCCCTTCTAATCTCCTACATGTCCTTGAAGTTATGTTGAACATGCTCTGGTCATTGCATTAAAAGTGCATCTGTCAGGGCTGGGGTTGTGGATCAGCGGTAGAACACTTGCCTAGCACATGCAGGGCCCTGGGTTTGATCCTCAGCACCACATAAAAATAAATAAATAAAATAAAGATATTGTGTCCAACTACAACTAAAAAAAATTTTTTAAAGTGCCTCTGTAATATCCTAGTACATTGCTTTAAGTGTCTAACATGTGCCAGTCCCTCTTCTAGATGATGGGGATAAGAGGTTAGCAAGATACACAAGATCTGGGCTCTTTGGGATTTAAATTGTTAGAGTCTCTTGTTACAATAGATTCTGGTAAGCAGAAGGAATATGTTTATCTGAAGGTATCATCTGATAGAGAAAGGAGAAAGGGACAAGGAGGAACAAGGATAAGCCAAAATGCTATTTCTCTACATATAGTAAAGTCTGAGAATACTAGAATTGGAGTGTTAAGAGTTCTGTTCTATTTCTTGAGATTTTGCTAATTTGCACTCTTTTTTTCACTAACTCTTAGAATACTTCAAAATTTTAATCATCCAGTTTATCAGTTGTTCTGAATATCAGTGGACTATCAAAGTATAATTTAATAGAAAGCTCTTGTTGGAATTTTTCTCTTTTTTTCATTTTTTTGGAAAGAGGCTTGCAGGAAGAAGATGTCAATTTTCATTATAAATATGACAGGTATATATTGTGAAATAGAATTTCTTTGGCTTTCTTTTGAATTTTTCCATTGTTCTGTAATTGGTAGGCAATGTGTTATCACCATTTGTTTTTATTTTTATACCATAGGCAAATTGTTTAGGGCATAAGAATTGGAAACTTTTCTTTGTGTACTAAGTAATCTTTTTCATCCAGAAAGTTCTTTCTTATACATAAGAAAGCTCTTATATGTAAGAAAGTTCTTCTTATATATAATGGAAATAATTTTGCTTACTAAATCTCCTATTTTGTTCATGGCACTAATTTGCTATGTGTATACTGAAATAATCCTAATTTAAAAATATCTGCTGAAATAGGAGAACTAGGTCAAATGGATTTCAACTATTACCAAAAATTATTTCAAAGTATATCTTCCTAAAAACTTACTCTAATTTTAGGATATTATCTCCTTACTTGTGATTTATTCTACTTAATCCTATGCATGATGTGGTTATGCTGCTTTTATGTACTATACATTCCTTTCATTATATGATCTATGATATTTATATACTCTTTGTGGATGTTTGGTCTGTACACTTATTAATAAGCAGTATGTTTTAGTATTTTTTTTATTTTTTAAAGTCACTCTGAGAAAATATAAGATATTTCTTTTTCTCTTTTAATTCTAATTTGTTATATATGACAGCAGAATTCAGTTCAATTCATGTTACACAAATAGAGAACAATTTTTTATGTCCCTGGTTGTATACAAAGTAAAGTCACACCATTTGTGTTTTCATACATGTACTTAGAGTAATAATGTCTGCCTCATTTCACCATCTTTTCTACCCCCATACCTCTTCCCTTCTTCTCCAACCCCTTTACCCTATCTACTCCTTGGTTTATTACCAAAGGACGTAAAAACAGCATACTGCAGTGGTGCAGCCACATCAAAGTTTATAGCAGCACAATTCACAATAGCTAAATTGTGGAACCAACCTAGAACCCTTCAGTAATGAATAGATAAAGAAAATGTGATATATATACACAATGGAATAATTACTCATCATTAAAAGAGAATAAAATCATGGCACTTTCAGATAAATTTATGATATTTCTACAGTAACTAAATACTAAATAATTCTAAAATTATAATGATCATCATCTCATCTTAGGTCATATGGCAGTAACTCCACTGTCACTCAGTTTAAAGTACTGTTTGTTTTCCTAAATCATCTCATGTAAAACAGCTTTTCTAGTGGGTTTCAGTGATATAATATTCTTTATCCTTTCACTAAGTTGTTTTCTCTCTTCTTTCTCTTAAAAAAAATCAACAGCTTGACCAAGTCATCCGCCAAAGAAGCCTGTCCAGTTTGGAGCTGTTCCTCTCCTGTGCACAGAAACAGTTAAGTGCTTTAATAGCTACGGAACCAGTTGACATTGAATAAAGAACATGACAAGCTAACCCACACTGGTATTGCATAAATCATTAGACGTCTAAAATACATGCCATGAATTATAAAGATGCTTTTGGTTTATTTTATTTTTTTTCCAAGCCTTGGAGAAATGATTTCCAGTTCAAGGATAAGGCAAAACAATATTTAGAAGAACTACCAGGGAATTTAATTTATTTTCTCTTATTTTCTCCCTTACATTTATTATTTTATTTGTAGTAGTAACAGCAACAGAGTATAATATGACCCAAAAGCCATTGAAAAGTGCCACATTATCAAAAGGCAATTAAGTAAATTTCATATCCTCTGGTGGCCTATTATACTGCCTTTGGCAAAAGAAATAAATATCTTTATGATTGCTTTATGATAATTTTTGATAAGATGCTAGAATGTAATCATGGATTTATTTGATTTCAAGGATAGAAATAACATAAATTTCATCAACTATTTACCTATGTAATTTGGATGAAATGCTGGATATGATAGAGAATTATTCTGATATTACTAAACCTCTTTTCTGAAGTTGGATCTATATACTTTGATTGGTCTACTGAATAACAAAATAGAAATCAAAACACTAAGGATAATGATATTAATTCCACTTTGATCTGATATCCCACTTAAACTCAAGGAGTATGTGTGATATATGCTTATTTCCTATTTCTGCTCTTTAAAGGCAGTGTAAATCAATGAGGTCATTTATCCTATGAATTGAATCATGAACTCACTCTCTAGACAGAGAACATAACTCAGCCACTTATAGGAATTCAGGTTCAAACGTAGGATATGTAATATATGATATATATCTTTTCTCAGTACTTTGGAATGTTAATTCATGAACAGTGTGCTTCAGTGCAAAATCACAAGCATTTTAACATCAAAACTAAAATGTCAATAAAATGTATGGATGAAAACATTTTGTCTTATTTTCTGAAATGCTTCTACTTTCATGGGCTTAGTACTTTTATGGGATTTCTCAGTGTAATAAAAGGAGCTCCAAAACTTACTGGTTATTTTTTTCTTGTTTAATTCTTTTTTCCTCAATTCTTTCTTAATTCTTTTTAGAACATTTTCTTTCTCAAACTTCTGTATCCAAGTATGATGATGTTTTATAAATATTCTCCTTTAAATATTTATGATCGTTACTGAGAGTCTTAACAATTAATATTCAGTTTTCTCTTATAATTCAAATAAAAATTAAATAAAGTAGGACATTGACTTGAATTCAATATAGTAAAAAAAAAAAGCAAGAGAGTTATTAATTTAGGAGCCAGCAGGTAACACAGTGATATAGTTCATTATTTAAAACCTCTTGACTCTCTTTAGCATGAAATTAAATGATAGGACAGTTTTACAAGCTAGTCAGGTATGACTTAGTATGAAGCATAGAAGATCACTGAAGCTAAGATCAAGAGAGTCTAAGATCCAAAGATATTGAAAATGTCAAGACAACATAGTAGTCTATTCCTCTCCTTTATCTCTGACCACCGCAAAGTGTTGTTTTGTTTAGTTTCCATTTGGGGTTTCAACTTTGCTGTTGACTTAAAAATTGTTAGGTCAAGTTAAATTATGACCTATCAATCTATGAGTATTTGCCGAATACTCACCATGTATAGTAATATACTGTTTTGGATTACAGTGATTTTTTTCACAAAGACGTCCTTAAAAATAACTGGTGTAATCTGGGTATAGAATTCTGATGAATTATGTGCATGAATTCTTCCAAACTGAATTAGCTAATATCTGTTTCGGTGATGTTCAAGTTACAGATTTCTACATTAAGAATCATATTGTTTTTGTTGTGGTTATCAAAAGGACTTAGCTCATCTTAGAGTGGTAATCACTAGGAGAATTTGAGGATCAAGCATTGTGCTACGAAATGTTAAGTGTTCTTCCCTGAAATGTGGGACCCACCTCCCTGTCAAGTCTCAAAGAGAAATAGTTAAATGTTTTGTATCTAAAAGTTTCTTTGCTTGGTATAGAATTTCCTCAACCCTTTTTACATAGCATTTTCTACCTTTATGTCTAGGTGAATAAGGCACTGTTCTAAAAGGCTGGAAGTTGAAGGGTGAAGTAATTTTGAATGATGAAACCACTTTCAGACTATGACCATTGTCATATTTTGCTTAAATAGTTGAACAATCCTCATTTTCATTAATAGAAAAGTTCTTTCTTACCACCAAAATGAGAATCTGCAAGCATTTCCCCGTGTTTTCTCTACAACTCTGTGAAGGAGATGATATATCCACATTTATTAATGGAGTAGATTGAGTTTCTTTCTGCTCATCCTCTCAGAATGTAATTAGGATTCAACAGAAGGGCTTTCAATATGTAGGTGTACTCTTTCTAGTACCCTGTAAGTCCTAATAGCATCTCTATGAGAAAATATTTTAAAGTGTCTAACCAAATAGCCTTATCACACTGTCAATGTTCCAAGAAGGAAAAACCTTCCTTATAGACATTTGGTATACCACATTCTAATTTCAAAACCTTAAACAAACAAGTTGCCTAACCAACTTGAGACTTAGTTTTCTAATTTGTGATGTAGAAATAGTGATTTTTATAAATTTTCTGTGAAAATTAGCTGGTGAGTGCCCAGTATAGTAGACCTTGCTGGTATGTCCACCATTTCACAATAATCTCCCCTTCTCTGATACCTATCCATGAAATGCAGGTGTGGTTTCCCATGGACCAATAGCTAACCTATGTCATTCTCTAACCTTGATTGATCCACAGGTATAAATCTGGCTTGAACTAGAGATCCCATGAAAAATCACTTCAAGTTCTTTATACTAGAGAGACAAATAGGAACCCCCAGTTCTGAGATAAGAGATCCCCTCTTCCCTGCTTTTCCTGAATCTTGGATGCCAGGAGATACCCAAATATTCTTCTACTATGCTCATAACACTTTTTCCCTTAAGCTATCCAAGATCCAGTTTCTGTTATGTGCAACCAAAAAAACATTAACGAACACAATCCAGCATAGAGCCCAGCACATAATCCCTGGATACTCAGCACTTGTTAGTTCTTCATTTCCTCCATCATACTAATCCACATCCAAATGGGAACACTCTTTGATTTATTTTAAGTAATGTTAAAAATATAACTGAACCAATGCCTCTTTTGTCTAATAAAGCCAAGTAAATCACAGATACCCAAAACTAAGGACATGCAGTGCCCTATTTAAAGTTTTTCTGTCACTCAAAATCTGCAGTAGTGGTTTAATTTAGCTTTGCTAAATGCTGACTCATGTTCCAAATCAAAGGCAGCTCACTCAGTGATTGCTTTGAAATCAAAAGCAGAACATTGTCCCCATGATTGGTGTTATTCTGAACTGAGTCAGGTATCTGTAATTATAGCGTCTTTTTATTTTAACTTGACAGTTAAACTGAATGGAATTAGACATGCAATCTGTGTTTTAAACAACAGTAAAAACAAAAGCATTATCTACTGGAAAATAGATAGGCTTTGCATAATAAATTGTTTTAAGAAAAAACATATGTAAAAACCGGGATAACATTTATAAACTCCTAGAGAAGGAGACTTGGATCAAGGCACATACCCTTTAGTGTTCTGTTTACATACCAGTAAACAGCTCTACTGTGTCTCCTAAGACTCCACTAACAAGAAGCAGAAAGGCAGTGTGCTCTGAATCCGCAGTGGAGGCTCTTACACCTAGGCATCCTCACTAGCATCTTCGAAAGTGGGTAGAAGCAGTATGTAAGAGCCCACAGCTGTGACTACCAGACTTCTTTTTTAGGCTAGACAAAACTAAAATTATGTTTATTTTTAAAATATACATATTTTTCTCACACTCCCTCCCCATAATGCAGTTTTGGTCATCAGTTATTGGCATATATAAATAGAAGGAAAGGAGCTGGTAAAATTTTCTTGGCTTTCATCTGGTTTTCTGTTTTATTTCCCCTAAAGCATCCATTTCCAACAAGCTGACCTCCACTTAAATTACCCACTCACCAACATTACATACTGAACTTTTCCTATGGAGTGCTGACATGATTAAATAATATATTGTGTTGATTATTATAATTAATAATTCATGTTCTTGTTTATGTTTTCTTCTTCCTGAAGAGAGAACCTACATACATTTTGTTTGTTGTATCCTGAAGGTATTTCACAGTGCCTACCTGTAATAAGGACTTAGTATATAATGGAGTTTATCAACAATTGAATCAATTGATAAAAGAATTACTGTACCTGCAGTGTAATTAATTACCTAATATACAACTGATAGATTCCAACGACTAACACAAAAGATTTAGTTAAAATTGCTGTATTTCTAAATGAAAGTCCTATTCTAAATGTAAACAACCCTCATAAAACAATAGCTAGCCTTGTATAAATCATCAAATTTTCTGAAAACTCTAAAATCAACTTTGCATTTTCAAATACTACTGGAATGACAAAATAGTAATAATAGAAATGAGCTACTCAAATTTATAAGAGCCTCTATGAATGTAAGTAGGGATGAACACATAAGACATTACATGTGAAATCATTTCTTATGCTGCTGAGAAGTGCCTGATTATAAGTAAGAAACAGCCTCCCATTGAGAGAGCTATACAGCAGTATTAGACTCATTGGTTTCAATTATAGCAAGGATAGAGCAAAAAAGTTTGAAATAGGGGTTGAATGCATAGGGTTTTATTCAAGAGTAGGAGATGCAGAAGACCCTATAATAGTAGGAGTTGTGGTTGAAAAGAGATGGTAGATCAGGGAATGTTCTGGTTTGAATTGCAAATATCCCCAGCCCCCATCCAAGGCTCATGAGTTGAAGCCTTGGTCTGCATCTGAGGGTACAACTGGAATATGGTGGAGCCTTTAGGAGGTATGGCTTGGGATAAGGAAGTTAGGTCATTGGGGGTGGTGTGCCCTTTAATGAGGTATTGGGACTCCAGCCCCTTCCTCTCTCACTCTTTGCTTCCTGGACACCATGAGTAAACAACTTTGCTCCACCAGGTGCTCCCCGCCATAATGTTCTGCCTCACCACAAGCCCAAGAAAAAAGCAACCACATACTGAAACCATGACCCAAATAAATTTTTCCTCCTATTAG